AGGGTTTAGGGTTTATATGGTTTAAGATTTTGCCTGGAAGCCCTAAGGGTATCCTCCTAAAGTGTCGCGGGAACCCAAAGTGGCCCGTACAAGGACGTCGGGGACAAGCGGCTCATTTGGAGGGGGTCCATGCATCCCTAAACCTTAAACCCCAAACTTGATATACCGTGTATGCTGCATCATCCTCTAAGGGGTTCGTATACAGTGAGTTGAGGGGCAGCGTCTATACCTGTTCTTACCATACATATGGGATAACATGGGTTTAGGGTTTGGGGCTTGGGGAGTTTGGGGGAGTTCAGGGTGCACGGATTCTTACAGGTTAGGTTGAAGGGCTGTAAGTCTCTGGACCCATGAGGCAAAGCCGGATGATGGAGCCAACTGCCGAGCCTGTGACCGTTGCCACAGAGCCGCTAGCGATACTTGGCTAAACTTGGGAAGGGTTTAGGGTTGAGGGTTTAGGGAGGGCAACATTGGGCCTGAACTGCTGGGAGACTTTCGCAAATTAGGTGCACTGGAGATATACAGTGAACCCTAGAGAGCAAACCAGCTTACTGCCACTAAGAAGCCTTCATGCAGCAGTGGTTACAGGATCATCCACAGGCCTAGACCCTTAAACCCTAGATTATCTGTCGTTTCGGCCCAAACTGATCCCAGCATCAAGCAATCTGCCCGTGTGGTCTATACTTTGTCTCCAGATTGACTAAGCAATGCCCAGTGTCCAAGTGTGTAATAACTAATCTAGGCGCTTCAATAATTACCTATATTATTTTGAGGGTTTCTTGTTACAAGTATACTATAAAGGATCCCAACACCCTATTCTAATTTTTAAGGCCCCTATATTCGGGACATGGACCTGTGTGTTTTCCGTGAAATCAGCAAAAAGCTGAGGAGCCGGCAGGCCGAACCCATCACAGAGCACGGTTTAGGGTTTAGGGTTTAGGGTTTAGGGTTTAGCCTATTGTGTGACATGGCGCATGGTATCTGCAGGATTCATGAGGCGTCGATGTGCTGTTGAGGTTTTCAGGTCGAGGTGTCGAGCTTGAGGTGTACGTAATTAAGAGTTTAGGGTTTAGGGTCTAGGGTAGCTAGGATTTTCGCCGCGAGCATAGCGTGTTCGTGATTGATTATGGTTCTCGTCTGTGTTCGGAGCCAAGCTAGCTGTTGGTATTGCAGTTTTTTGCTGCATGACGACCACTTGTAATGTTCAACCTTCATCATCGAGTGCAACACGGAGGAGTTGCATCGACTGAATCGAATGGTGAGGGTGTCTCAGGAGAACACGAGGAAAGGTTTCGAGGGTGCGTTTGTATTATGTATATAGACATAGAGAGAGAGACATGCATCTCGGTTTTTCACTGATACGCAGAAGCGGTTCCTGCACCCTATACACTATGGGTACCTGGACATGTGGGAACTGGATGAACATGAGGAGCAGGAGCATGGGCTTCGAACAGCGTTGATCATGTTGACAATCAGCATTTTTCATGGTCGTGACAGTGGCTATTACTGCTTCGTTAAAGTACTACTGCCATACGTCAGGGTGGCGCATTGCAAGACGAAGTACATTGGTGTACTGGCCCGAGTGAAGTCCTACTTCAAAACCCTGTGCCCTTCACACAGTCGCCCGAGCCATCATAAGAATCCATGTAGTGTGGACCTAGTTAAGATCCTAAGCCCCAGAACCCTCATGCCCCACCGTCGTAAGCACTAAGTTCCCCAAACATTCAACCTCTAAGCCCTAAGCCCACAGCAGGCCATGGAACGATAACACCCTAAACCCTAAACCCCATCCCCTAAACCCTAAACCAGAAACCCCATCCCCCTAAACCCTAAACCCAAAACCCTGAGGCCCTGAGATGCTAAGGAGGCCTTTCAACCCTGAGCCCGTGTCCGTTGCTTGGGACGCCTCTCACTTGCCAGCCGCTGCGGCTGGGAAATTAGGGTTTCCAAATTCAGGGTCAAGAGGGCCAGACGCCCGGCAACCTATGCAGTAAAGCCCTAAACCCTAACACAACGATACCTAGAGGGTCATTATGTTGCCCCCTTTGTTTAGGGGCACCTGGTCTTTTGGTGAGCACCTGATGTTCTGGTCAAGAAGGTGCCCTAGAAAAGGGGTGGTGTATGCCATGGGTAGTATAGTAGCCTACCGTGTGTGTGTCCACAAACCACCAACACACACAACACACACGACAAACACACATATACATATATATATATATATATATCTATATATATATATACACACAGGCAGACACACACACACACATAAAAATACACACACACATACACACACACACACACGCTGACGTTTGCATTTAAATACACACATACATACATACATACATACATACATACATACATACATACATACATGCACACATACATGTATGTGTATCTATATACATATGTATACATATATATATACATATGCATCTACATCCCTAAACCTTAATTCCTAAACCCCTGATCCCTGATCCCCATAAGCCCGTAAACCGTAAACCTAGACGGACTCTAAAGCCTTTCAGCCTTAGGCTTCAGTATAGGCATCTGACCTGTAGGGTTCCTTTTAGGCTTCTTTTTCGGGTTCGTTTTAGGGTTCCTTTGCAGAGATCTTTAAGGGTTCCTTGGAGGGTTCAGGTCAAGAGGCCCGAAGTTGGTCTTAGGGTTTTGGGGGGGTTTAGGGGAGTAGGGTTTAGGGGAGTAGGGTTTGGCGTTTTCGGGGCTTGGGGTTTTGGGTTTGGGGTTTGACTCAACGAACACTTAGTAGGTATGCTTGTCTTTGTGGAATGAGGAACACGGCTAACTTGTTTTAAGCATCACGGCTCATGTAATTTCCTGCTTTCTTCTACGTTACGCATGGTTCATGGTCAGCTGAAGCTCTCATGCAGAGGATTGGCTGTGTAAATGATCGTCGTCACTAGGGTGAGATAAAGCAGGTCTCCCCTAAACCCTAAACCGGGACTCTCTAAAGAGACATGGCCAAACCTTCCAATATCCCCTTATTAAGGAATATACCTTAACTTATAGTAGGATCCCTAATCTGATTTAAGGTATATTCCTTGATTAAGGTATTTTGGAAGGTCTGGGTGGAGAGCTGCCCTGGAACTCCGACCCGTGCTTTTGCCCGCGTCCACTGTTGAACCACCCGCGACTATCATCCAAGTGGCCTGCTTCAGTTCGATACCTTGCCACACTATGCTGCTTACAAGCCTCCTAGCATTGCCCTAAACCCCCCAGGTACCTACTAAATTGGGCCCTTAGGGCCCCAGGGGTTCTAGTACCGTATATAGTAGGTACCTGGGGGGTTA